TCAATGTAATGACTTAAGATTTTAAGGCTCTTTCTAAACTTTAGGATATAAAAATATGAGAATAAATGCCTTATTCAAAAATACAGACAAGGATTAAATTTTGTCCTACGGAACAGCTTGTGTTTCTTAGGCTATTTCCTTGTTTCTGCACTGTATGTGAAGTCTGCTGGAATATTGCATAAAGGTTTGTGAGGCCTTAAAAACTTTCATCTGAATTAATTCTTTTTTCTTTTGAAAATATACTGCACATAAAATTGAGCCACAGGCTACATGGAAGGCACTGGTTTCAGTATAAGAAGTGGGTTTTCTGGATATGCTTATCAAAACTCCCCATTTATCACTGCAAAAGTTGGGAGCAGAGGTCTTGCATCGCAATGTGAGAAACATCCCCTGGTTTGTAAGTGAAGGAACCTACAACAAGTTTAATTCTGCCTTTTGTTTAGAAAAACATCCGTGTCTGTGCCAGTGGCAGCCCTAGTTATCCTTTACCTTGTGTATTTGACTTGGCAGAGTTGGACAGACAGCTTTGGCTGGAGGCTGTGTCCATACTCAGCTTTTCGTCTGATGTAGTCAATGTTCAACACATCAGTGCCCACCTGTGGGTCTCCATTTATAGGCTGCAGGATGGAGATATTTTGGCTTGGTTTTTGTGTTTGTTTGTTTTTTAATTAGTTTCTGGCATATCCTGTTCTGCTCATACAGGCCAGGGCATGTTTTCTCTAGCACTGGCAAGAATAGAAATTGAAATTGCTGCTATATGACAAGCACAAAGTCTTGTGTGATTATCTGGTCTTGGACAGTTCTCCACATATAGCACTTAGCCATGATGCCTTCTGTTCCCACCTTGTCAGGTTATTCGTGTTAAGAGGAAGTTTTCAGGTAGCTTTTCCTTCTCTGAGTATGAGAATAGGATTAATGACACTTGGTACGTTATGTCTGAGCAGAAATTTAATTTTACAGCATTGTTGGAGGTTTTTTTTCACAATCTCCTAATTAAAAGAAAGCAGGAGGAGGAATCCCAGAGGCTACCAGCCCCTCTGATGTGGGCTCAGCTGTCCTTGGTTGGCATTTAGGGACATTTTAGAATAAATACCCATCATAAAAGGATGTGGGACTGATAGCACGTTGATAGTAGATTACACCTGAAATAGTTTAAATGTGGCAATCTAAAATTGCAAATTAATTTGAATATTTTGTCTGGGAGGTTTAATAAGGCTCAGTTTTGGATACCCAGGTAATGTTTCTGAGTGAGATAATCAGTGTGGGTGGCTGTGCTTGGTTTCCCTTCTTTTGCACAGCTTTCCCCTGTTTTGGGTAGCCAGGGGAAGCTGCCATCTTTCCCTGCTTTGCTTCTGCTGCGTTAAACATTGCTGACAAAGCAAATGAGGAATCAGAATTGTCAGCCAAAAAATCAGTTGTAGCTCACAGTGAAACAGAAAATATCCACTCCCCTTTGGCAAATCCAGTCCTTTCACATCTACTTAAAGGGTTTAAGCAATATGTGGACTTCGCAGAAAAGGGACCTGTAGAATCTGGGTGATAATTTGCTGCTGAATGCTGTAATTGCAAGGAGGCAACTGTACTTTGTGTTGGAAGTCACCAGGATGCAGGGTCAGTGGGGTTTTGCTTAGAATCATAGAATGGTTTGGGTTGGAAGGGACTTCAAAGTTGTTCCAGTTCCAGTTCCAGTTCCAGTTCCAGTTCATGGGCAGGGACACCTTTCACTATCCCAGGCTGCTCCAAGCCTTGTCCAATCTGGCCTTGAACAATTCCAGGGATGGAGCAGCCATAGTTCTGTGCCAGGGCCTCACCACCCTCACAGGGAAGAGTTTTTCCCTACCATCTAGCTGAGATCTATCCAGAAACTTCACTTCTATCCTGTGCACGTCTAAATGGTCTAATTATCATAGCTTGCTATCTCCAGCCCTATCTACACTGGGGTCATCTTTCTCCATAAAACAATATTTTTGTATTATTATTAATAGTTCATACAGCAGGGGCCAGGGCAGAAATTCTTCCTTGGAGCTTTTATGAGTGAAATTCATGACATGTTGCATTGTGGGAAGTCATCTCTTCAAATAGCAACATGACTTCTGATGCATTAGACTGATTCAGCCAAGTCAGGGTTCTTGACTGAGGCCAGCCATTGTTGTGTGGAAAGGACCTTGAATTCTTACCAGCAGTAAATTTTAATAATTTCAACTACATAATTTCAGTCCTACGTCCAGTGTTCCACTTTCTTCTTGGATTTTCTCCAATTTCCTTCTGTTTCCCTTTTCGAGCTCTATTTTTCCCTCAAAACCAACCAATTCCTCTCATTCCTGCCATGCTGCCATGTAATGTTGTTAATATCACAGATACTGTGGAAATCTTGGACAGTCATTGACAGCTTTATATCTTTCAGCTTTATTCTTTTAGTGAATTTCTCATATGTGCAGTGCTGTACATCCCCTCAGGATCTTATCCTAGGTTTTTATTTTCTGAATGTAACCTTTGCACATCCCTGTTACTCCCACTTTGTTTTGTCATGCTTGATGAAATTAGGGTGTTTTCCATACCAGTAGAGCACCAAGAGCCCCTGTTTCTCACAGCTTTTAGCCAGGCATTACCACTGGTGTGGCAAGGCAGTTCCATCTGACCTTTTGTATGGCTGTGAGGTTCCAGGTTGCTCAACCTATGATACCTGTGATGGAGAGTCATCCATCAGTCTAAGGATGGGAGTGATTTGCCTTAATCCAGTGGCTACAATGCTAAAAAAATCTGGGGGTTATCCCATAGGAGAAATGGAATTATTTTAAAGGGGACTCCCTGAATCTGAAGAGGATGAGATGAGGACATCACCAAAGATTGCTATATAGCACCAAGAATGAGGACATGGATGAGGAGCTCACTACCCAGATGTAAATCTTAATCTTGTGCTCACTCTGTCCTAAAAGAGAGTTTAGGCAAAGATGAGGGGCCTGGGAAGAGAAGCAAGCAGAGCAGAAGTGAGAGAGCTACTGCAGATCTGGAGTGAGGGTGAGATATTGCTTATCTTTAGTAACTAACCTGCTTATTTGGAGAGGATGCATCTACCCACGTCTGTGGAAGTCTGAAAGTGTTCTTGGAATGACGCAGCTTGTTCAGTGCTGGTAGTAGGAATGGATTGATCTTTTTATGTGGTGTTTATTCTTGAAAAGGTGAACTTTGGTTTTCCAGCCAAGTCCCCAATCACCTCAATAAAACAGCCGTGTTGGAAACTTGAAAGGGTTGTTGAGTACTGAAGAAGGAAATGGGTCAATTGACTGTTGGATCATATTGAACTGTGGATAAATGAACCTTTGAACTGCACCCTGCTCCAAGCCTTAAAATCTGAGCAATACAGGAAATGTATTCTTTGGTACCTCTCCGGGTTTTGGAGTATATAATTTAATCAAAGTGTACTATATACTTTGTGTACTTTATATTATATCTCAAAGTATAATGAGGTTGATAAAAATGTTTCTAATTGTTGAAATCACAGTTCAGCAATGCCAATAACTTAACCTCCACCCCAGATAGAAGAAAATGTTTTTATTGTTATAGTTATAGACAATAAATTAATGTACCCTGAGAGAAGTCCATGTGGGAGGTTTCCTGGCAGCTTCCCTGGTACTTTTTTTATTACTTTGAGAAGGACAAGGAGCTGAGGTCAGATGCTAAGAACTCAAGTTCTAAAATGCTGTCTTAGCCCTCAGTTGTGTATTTTTTTGAGGGCAGGCAGGAGCTGCCAGAGCGGCTGGATATTTCATGTTTTCTTTTGATGTCTCCATGCTTCACAGAATAAAGATAGTTGTGTGAGTCCAAGTGTGGGGCTTGGTGTCTGTCTCCTTCCTTATCCATATGGTGGATGCAGTGTCTGGTTGCAGTGTTTCAGGAATTAATAAATTAATGTTTGAGAGATGTTCAAACACAAAGACTCTATTTTATCACTTGCTGAGTACCATGGTTAGATTAAAGAATGGCTCAACAGTATTATCCAAGAGTTTTTTGTGTAACCACACACAAAACCTCAAATGTATTTCCTCAAATGTTCCTTGCAGCCCCTCGAGGTGTCCAGGCTTAGGCTTTTGCATGGAGGTGCTTTGGTCTGGGGTGGGGGCTGGCATCTCCCTGCATCTCCTGGTTATGACAGCAGAGCTTCAGTGGGAGCTTGGTGGGAAATCAGGTGTGATGCTACTGCAAGATTCTTACTGTAATGTTGAGATAGAGTGGAAAACATTCCTGACTCGTTCAGCCTCTCTGGAGTTCACTTTCTTAGGTAGGGTTTGAGTCCAGTCTGTGTATCGCAGCAGAGCTGTGTACTGGCAGCCAGACCTGCTGTGCACAAGTCCCTACCTGGTGAAAGTTGGTTTTATCCCATGAAGGCTGTTCCCATTGTCCTGCCTCTGTGAGGGCAGGACACGCGCCGCAGCGAGTGCCCAGAGTGGCCTGGTGTTCCTGACTCGCGGGGAATGCCGCCAGGGAACACGTTCCAGATTCCGGCTGCGGTTTCCAGTTACGGCTTTTGTATTCAACTCCTGGTGTGGCTGGAAACTTCTGCCAGCTGTCAGCTTCGGAGCAAGTGGCAATCTGCCTTCTCAAATAAATGGCCTCCATGTTTATTTTCAGTTTCGTGTTTGTTACACTTGTTGTAGGTTATGAATCCTGGCACAGAGCATCCTTGACCCTCTAGCAAGAAATGCAGCGATCACCTGTTGTGACTGGGGCTTGAGTTAACCTGCTTCATGCAAATGCAAATAACAGAAAGCGCTGACCCGTGGAACAGTCAGTTTATAATCAATGGAATAATCCATTTAGGACCTCAGTAACTGAGAGGGTTTCATACTATGGTTTCCGCATCACGAGCAAAGGGACTTTTTTATGGGGTGCAAAGACTGAGCGCACTCAAGGGTGGCAGTAGATGGAAGGAAATAATTATTACAATGCATTTTCTTTTTGTGTCTCCTTTTTATCTGCTTGTTTTGTTTGTTCTTGAACAGATTGAAAACATAGATGCATGCCTGAGTTTCTTGGCTGCTAAGGGGATTAACATCCAGGGGCTGTCAGCAGAAGGTGAGTCCATTGGTTGTTTGTGATTTCATCTTACATGAGGAACTACCTGTGATTGCAACTAGAGCATGGAGTGTAATGGAAAATTAATAAGGTCAATTTAAACTTCTGACAATCTTTTTTTTCTTTTTTCCCATCTCCGTGTGAAAGGTAGATAAAATATGTATCTAATTTCTACACAGCTGACTTGTAAAAGTAGTGAATGAGACCAAATTAGAATTCAGTAATTTCTTTACTATTTTCTGTTTAAAACCAGAAATTTCTTATCTCACTTCTATAATTTGCACATTGATCACTTTATATTTTACAGATATAAGTGAACTGCTGTCAGTTGTTTGCCTTTTCAGAGAAAAAAATTATTTCCTTATTCTTCAATTATTCTCTTACCTGAACAACTATCCTGCTTTCTTCTCATTTTAAATATTTTCCTGTTTCTAAGTGCACAAAACAATCAAATCCAAATGTTTTGAGCCAAACCAAACCAAAACAAGACATTTTGACCTTTAATTAATCACTCTGCTTTTGAAGAGCATCAGCATTTTCTGAAACCAAACTAGGTTAACTCTGTTCCTTTATGCCAGGATGCGTGGTACCTGTTGGCTCAGAAGCTGTTTAACTATTATCTTATTAAGAGATCAAACAGATTTCTGTCATCTTCAGCTCCAGCCTTCACTTGCATTTACATTTAAATATGCTGGAAAAGCAGTTGGGTTCAGTAGCTGAATATATGATGTGACATCTCCATCAGAGCTTTGCAGAACAAATAATTGAATGTGTGGCATCAGGTGAGACTTCAAAGTTACGTTTGATGACTGAGTGTCTTCACAAACTTAGTTTGGAGGACGAGGCTGCAGCAAAATAGCAGATATTTAGTGTTAACCTGAGTACACCACAGCTAGCAGAAGAGGAGGCTAAATGTTAGGTGTATTCTTAGGCTGGATTAGAACAGCAATAACAAACATTTTCCTCCAAAGAGAAGCATTACTATGGCCCACCTAAGTGCTGCCAGCATTACGTGCCTCAGTTGCTCAGTTGTAATCAGAAGGATTCTCATGTTAAGAAAAGAAAGCATGAGCTAAAACTTCAAACAGCAAAAAATTTGTTTGCAGGGAAATTATTAAAAAGAAAATGCAGCTGAGTCAGTTGTAAAGGCCAATTTTGATCTTAGCATGGAAATATGGTAAAAATACATTTCACATTATTTACCTGTCTCCTAGAAGGTAAAATCTAAGTGAAATAGCAGGTCTGTGATGAGAAAACTGCCTGGGTGTACAGAGCTGGCAGCGTGGTGTTGCTCACGCTGGGGAAGGGACAGCATGATTAATGCTCTCGGCTCTCCTGCCAAGTCACAAGTCAGGCCAGCAGGACACATGTTAGCCCATGGCTTCGCTGATTCGGGATTTCTGCCTTTCTTTTATACTATCTAGGAATTAGTGTATTAAATCACGTGGAAGCTAAGAAGGGACCAGTAATGTTTGCTGCCAGCCTATGAATGAGAGCATTTACTGGCTCCACTACTAACATTGAAGGAAGAAAGTGACAACTAGAGAGGGGGAGGGAATGAATATATTTTTATAAAATAAGTTGAAAGACTTTGAATGCAACAGTAAAGTGAGTTTCTCTTTCTAGTTGCTCCGGCACTGTGTTGAGGAACACAGAACCATTTAAAGTGAGGAATGTTGTTACCAAACAAGCCAGTGTTTCTGTGCAAGTTGCAAGACCTGCTAGGTCAACGGCAAATAACTTTATTTACTTCACAGGCAGATCCTCATCTAAGAGGAAGGAAAAGGTTGTGATTGCTTCCAAATGGGAGTAATCACTGAAGTCTCCTGGGTTTGTTAAGAGCACGTATTTTTCAACAGTGCAGCTTCACTGTGGAGGAAAGTTAATGATTGAAAACTGGAATTTGGATGACTCCTAAATGTTGAAATAATTTGGGACTGCACATGTGTATCCTTCCAGTGTTGAAAAATCCTGCTTTGATATGTGCGTGTCACTGACACAGAGTCTATTTTGATGGATTTATGCATTGGAGATGCAGGATGACCATGCTGTGCTAGAGGCTCCCCTTCCCAGGAAATGTGAAGGCAAAAAGATTCTTAAAAATCTTCTCAAAGATTCTTAAAAATCTAAAATCTCCATTCCTAGTTACTGAAGAAAACTATGGAGAGCTGGAGATCTCTTTTCACTTCTTGCTGCAAATTTTTATTGTTCATTCTTTGAACTGTCTTTCTACACCCCTGCCCTTAGACTTGTTTTAGACTCCTGGAACTGCAGCTGCCCAGAGAAGCTGGCTCTCCTTCACACAATATCTCCTTGCTCTCAAGATATTGAAGATATTGGAGGACATAAATGTGCATTAGAAACTCAAACTGATATCACATATAAGCAGCTGCAGATCTTTTGAGTAACAGACAAGCTGGGTAATGATCAGCTGAACACATCCTGGAGCAGTGGTGTGGGGGAAACAAGTGCCAGCAGGGATATCCCAGGATGGAAATCTCCGAGGAGTGGATTTGTGAGGTTTCCTATGAAAACCAAATTCCAGTTTCAAGTGTCTGGAGTGTTTGTTTCCAGTATCCAGGACAGTAATTTTTGGCTCCACATTTAGAATGGCTGGGTGACATCCTTGTCCTTATCTAAGTCAATATGATACTGGAGCTGACCATGGGCTGGAGAGGACTTGAAGCAGGAAGCATTTGAGACTCTGCTGGTGGGCAGAGTGCAGTGAGGCTGAAGCAGTCTTTGAAATACTCCTTTTTGTATGAAGTGCAAGGTAGAACTGCCAGAATGACCTCAGTTTTTAAGATAAAAGAAACAGAAGTGGTGCTGAAAGTCTGATTCAAAATGGTTTTTTTTTCAAATCCAGAGGGGAAGAGACTATTTTAATTCATTAAAAGTGTTCTTCTTTTGATTATTTGTTCAAAAGCAGGTTGCCCTTCTAAATGCAGTAGAAAACAGGCAGCAACTTGTCATAGGTGCGTTGTTGTTATAATTGTCTCTCACTTCACATAGAAATCAGTTTCCATTTGCATATAGCTTTGCTAAATTTAAACAAGCAGGTCCATGATAATTTCTTTTATCTCTGAATGTATTTGTGCAGTTAAGCTTCCCAGTGCCTCTAGATCTGTTTAGTTATGCTGTGATTAGATGCTACTTTCCTTAAAGTTCCCATGGGTAATTTGAGTTCTTTGCTGGAAATAAGGAAATCCTTTTTACTGTGTTCTGCTGTATTTTGTGTCTGTTCCACTTCCAGCCCTGTCCTCCTAAACTAAACACAGATTATTGAAGAGAACCCGCAGATTAGAGAAGGAACCTGCCTGGTGCAGTGGGAGAATGCTGGGTTTGTACATGGCACTGCATGGGAGCAGGAGTGGGCTGGGAAGAGGGAAAACAGGCAGGATTAATTGGGTCCCTACTGTTCAAGGAGAGATTAAAATTGGCCAAGAAAACAAAGGAAGACTGAAAATGGCTGCTGAAGGGCCCTGGGAATGGTAATCCTTTAAACAAGGGATTGGAGTGTCAGTGGTGGCAGAGAGCAGTGATGGACAGGCTAGGCTGCAGGGAAGAAAAAATAGCTGGGGAAACTGAGTCAAGAAGTATGAGAGGAAAAGAATATCCTGGGTCTGGGTGATGACCAGGGCCACTTAGAGAAGGGCTAATATTCTCTGAAGACATGGGCATGGGTTGAGACAGGTTTCAGAAAGAAAGTAAATTATATTAGTGGCTGGGAAGGGAAAGTAGACTGAGGTGCAGGTAGACAAGGAGACCAGAGCTGGAAGCTGGTACAGAATGGGAAAGAACAGTTTTAAACTTTGGGCCTCAGATCTGCTAGGTAAAGTGCTTAGGATTAGGAGCAGAAGTGTGTTTACACAGCAAAGATGTGAGCAGAACTGTAGCTGGGAGAGGGAGTAAAGGATGGAGTGGGGTCCCTCACAAACTCAGAGCAACCTTTCAGCCAGAACTGGAAACAAATGAAAATTCTGGTTCTTTCCTTTGTGCTTGGCCACTGTCTTACCACATGTCCTTTTCTTCTTACTTTCTCACAGGGCAACAGTCAGCTTTTAGTTCAAATTATCTGTACAACACAGGCAGAAGTTCAGCTGTTTGATGTAGCTTTTTCAATTCACTTTTTAAATTTAGGAAATGAAACATGCTAAATAATTAAGTCACAGCACATTAAGGTTGTCTGCAAGGAAGAATTTGCCCTCTGGCATATTAATTATGATACAGTGGTTAAGTGCATGGTCTGATACACCTCTTCATCTTGTATTTCTGTTTGCTTTTACATTTTTGCATTTGATGTTGCATAGAAGAGCGGGATGAAATTCAGGAATTGAAAACTTTATACACTGACTGTCAAGCTATCTTTAGGTACATTGGGTGCCCATCCCTTATAAGCTTGTGATCATATCAAAGCTGGTAATTATGTTTGAATACAGCTATGTCAACCAATAACCATATTTTCTTGTGCAAAACTTGCATCAAATTTTCTTAGTTTTCTTAGATTATTCTGATATTCCAGAAATATGTGTGATAATGGAGTAGATTCCTCCTTGTGCAAGTTTAGGACTGAGAAATCATTTACAGCTGTCCTTAATACAATTGTTGTTGTGGGGGTTCTGTTTTGGGGTTTTTAGCTACATTAGTTTAAAGGAAAGATTAAAAGGGACTTGCTTTTTAAGCACACTGGCATTAACACAGACTGCAGCTGAAATGTGAGATATTGCTCAGTCACTGCAGGGGAGAGATTAGTTAGTTATTTGTGGTTGGTGCTCACTGGCAATCAACTGTAATGCCAATTAGATGTGCAGAAAGAAACTTATCCTAAAGGATATCCCAAAGGAGCTCAGTTCAGACAGTGTTCTGGGGATGCAGTGGCTAACCCGCTGCGCTGTCGGAGAGAAAACACCCACTGAGGCTGACGAGTGACTTCTCCACTTTGCCTTACAGAAATCAGGAATGGGAATCTGAAGGCCATCCTGGGCCTGTTCTTCAGCCTGTCTCGGTACAAGCAGCAGCAGCAGCAGCCCCAGCACCATCCATCCCAGTGCCAGGTGGGAGTCCCTCAGCAGCAGGTGCCAGCTTCGCTCCACGCTCCGTGCCAACAGCCCCCGCAAGCTGTGCAGCATCAGTTTAAAGCACAACCAGAAATGCAGTCCAGGTGGGGAAATCTTAGAGTTGGGGTTTTCTTCATTATTTATCTCTTTTTTTGGTTTTTTTTTCCTTCTCATTGCAGGTCTTGAAAAGCCAAAGAAACTCCTTTCTTCAGTTCTGCTCTAAAATAAAGTGTGTTGGTAGTGGAATGCTGGGTAGCAATTGATATTAAGCCATTGGAAATCAAAACACGTGTGTTTAAATAGGTTCTCAGTGCTGGAAATCTGCAGCCCAATGGGTATAGCATCCCTGCTGGACTAAGTAACCACAGGATTGTAAAAGGATGTTTTTCTCACTATTCCTTTTGCTTCTTTCTACTCACAAAGCATGCACATTGTTCCCTTTAGAAAACATGCATTTTAGGCATATGAAAACCAGCTTCAGTTCTCAGATTACAAGAGTTTCAGTCCTCACTAAGAAATGGAAGGGTTACTCTGCCAGTGGTAAAAGAAATAGAGCTCATAACACCTGGAGGCAATCACAATCAAATCTAGACTTCTTGGTCAAAAATAATATGCTGCTGGCTTTACATGAAAAATAATTTTCATCATTGGTGTTTGTTGGCACTTCTAGATCAGAGTACAGATGAATAGAAAGGGGTTTTGTTCCTTGAATGTCTTTAATGCTAGGAGTGCTCTGCCCAGGTTGGAATAAAAGCAGTCTTCTGAGGCAATACCACAGTAAATGCATGTGCAGCCTTCTACTGGTCTGACTCTTGCACTGCTAAAGCAGGGAGGGTTTAGTGGGGATAAGAAAGAGAATTAAAAGCAGAAATCATATTTGCACAACTAGTAAAGTATGAAGGCTTCTTGTTCTTACAAATCTCACACTGGGGCTTGCTTGTTAACACACCTTGAGGTGAACTCTGGCTTAAGTGCTGCCTTATGAGGGATATAAACAATTTAACTGAAGCCTTCCAAGTGGGACTGCTCAGAGGTTATTTGGGTTTGGCTTTTACGTCTTTCTTCACAAATTATGCTCATTTGGGTGTAAACAGTAGTTTTGTATAGTTGAAAAACATAGTGTTCCTACAGCATGTATAAACAGAAAATAATTACTGTAAAATAAAGATGTGTTTGAAGAGATTTCTGCAAGTTTTCTGTCAAACATGCAGAGATGCTGAACACTGTTCTGCTGTTTCCAGTCCATTGTGTAGATTGGGCTGGGTTTCAAATAATTGAAAAATATGTATATCCTGAAGATCTTCAATGTCATGTTTTCTTAATATGTACTAAAGTCAAATTGCTCAGATTCTACAGAAAATATATATAATAAAGGAGTGAGAAGGAAAAGAGGAATAGAGTTGGGGGTTGCGTGCAGATTTGCGTGTTCATTACTCTGTAAAAATTAATTTCAGACTGTACTGGTTTTGACCTGAAGTTATACTTGGTGAAGAAGCATTATGTTCTTGTGAAATTCATAAAAAACCCCATTTTTTTTCCCTATAACCAGTTACTCAGTTCAGTGGCTTTAAAAAAAAACACCCAAAAAGTTTCTTTGTTCAATGTTCTCTTCCGCTTTTTCTTTCCTGTCGCAGTGCATCTCCCAGGGACTCATCTCAAAGCAAAATCATCCGATTCACTCTTGGTCAGAAAAGGTCTTCTAGGTTAGCATTTCTTCATCTTCTGCAAAGCATGCATAATCCTTTTGCAATATTTCTGGGTGCATGTTTAGGGTTCCTGTCAAAAACACTTTGTAACTAGACCTTTACAAATGGCTGGAATGGGAAAGTTGTAGATGGATTTAAATTTTTTTTTTCTTAGGGTTTTTTTGGTTGGGGTGGTTTTTTTTTTTTTTTCTTTTTTTTTTAGCTGTGGAATGCATTTTGGCCCTCAAGGAAATAATTTGATTTTTTGTTCTTAGGAGCTTTTGCTTTTGAGAACAAAACATGGTTCTGGGAGTTCTTGCTGTATTAATTATATTTTGACCTGCATTATTGAAATCATAGAATGTTTTGGATTGGAAATGACCTGAAAGATCATCCAGTTCCATCCCCCAGCTGAGCTTCATCAGGCCAGTGGCTCAGCTGTTGAGGAGAGTGTCACCTGCATGCTGTGAGCCCCATCAGTACTGTGTGGCTCTTGCTGATCAGAGCCCCTGCAGTCCCCAGTGCTCTCAAACTTGTCACCTGTGACCTCCCTGGAAGTAAACCAGAGGCACTTCAGTCCCTTTTCTCCCTGGATCCCAGCATGATTTGCATGCCAGTTCATCTGTCCATCTCATCTCAGTGATCCTAAGGGTTGCTGTGGTTATTAATCAGGGAAATAATATTGTTATTTTGCTATTATATGTAAATGTTTGACTAGAATATAGTTTTACATTGGTGAATTATACCATACCATTTTTGCTAAGATTTTGAGCTATAGCTTGTGATCTTTATTCGGTTTGTATAGATTTTTTTTTCTGCTGTATAATTTAGATTTATTTCCCACATCTTATTTCTTATTATGCTTCTGCTAACAGTGAATCTCTGCAGAATAATCCCTGTTAAATAGTTCCACATTTCATGTTCTTCTTTGATCTTAATTATGGCTTGACAGCTCATATTTGCTTAACAGAGGTACTGAAGAGTAGTAAAAGAGTGTGTTATACAAGCTCAGTACCTTCTCTGTAAATTACAAGAACCCAGAAGAATCTCCCTGAACCTGACTTTTTCCTTAGATTTCACAGACACCGTTGTGAAGTATCTTGAACTAATACCAAAAGCAGGGTCTTAAAACCAGTTAGTTAAACTGCAGAGGGGGGAAAAAAGTCTTAAGAGCAAGGATATCTTCAAGAGTGCTTTTGGCATGTAGGGTTTTTATTCTTGGTGTGTTTTTATTAGCAGTGACAATACTGACTCAGTGGAAAACTTGTCACTTCTTAAGTGGTCACATGGTTTGAGGTCCTTTGTTTACTTTAAAATGTGACAGCTTTGCAAAACCTGTGTGGATATGTGTGGGGAGCCTTTTCTTATCCATCACTACAGGAAGATTGTCCCTTCCCTGCTGCTGGAAAACTCCCCTCCCGTACTGGGGCCCTTGCAGCCATCCTGGGGTGCCCCATGTGCAGTGTTTCCCAACTGGGTGGCAGCTTTGGGCTGAGGTACCTTGTAGAAAACCTAGCTAGTTTCCTGTCAAACAAAATGAACTTTTTTTGAACTTCCTTGTCTTGGTGACTTTCTCAAAAAGTTTTATTTGTCACTGGCTGCCCTCAGCTTCTTCCCCTGTGGTCTCCTCTGCAGTGGATAAAGACCCTCTGGGGTTTTCTCATGGACCCTTTGCTGCAATGATGAGTATGGACAGCTTTTTAGCACCCCCCACTGCTGGAAAAAGCTGGATAATTTGAGAGACTGGTCTAAAAGTCAACCTCAGAACCATGATGTGCTGTACTGAATCTGTGGTGATTTGAGCTTGTAAATTAATTTTTGGGTTGTATTTGAATGATGCCCTCATGTCTGAGACTCTTTTGAGCTTTGAAAGCATGTGCATGCAGCTGCTGACATTTTGGCTTTTTCTCCATGTTTCTTTTCATATCTTCTATTTCTTCACTAGTCCTGGATAAATCAGTTTATTTAGGAAGCCTTGCCAGGTTCCTTCCTGGCTTCTCTTCCTTCTCTCAGAGGTACAATGGTGATTTGGCCAGTTGCATCCACACTCCCTCTAACAACTGGGAGTTCTTCCTTTTACTTTATTATTGACACAATTTATTTGAATGGATTTTTGTTTTTTATGTGAAGAAGCTTTAAAAAGATTCTGTGTGTGAATGTTGGCTTTGAAGTGTTCTGAGATGTGATGCCACTGGCTTTCCTGATTCTGTCGGGCTTTTTAGAGAAGTCTTCCACCTTCCTTTTTGCCTGAAAAGCATACAAGTTTGTTTACTTACTCCAGAATAACTACATTTTTTTTCCCTAGTTAATCAGCTTCATCTGGTAAGTACAGGCTATCGTAAGAAAATGCTGGAAGAGGCAGATCTCCAGTTTAAACCAGAGGCTAATACCAGCTCACTGATAATGTGGTTACTCTAGGATAGGGTACTGAAGCTTTGTGTGGTTTATATAGGCCCAAATAATTAAATCATGTTAAAGTCTTGCTGGGCTTGGCTGCTGAGCTTTGTAGCTGTCAGGGCAGAGATGTGATGTGCTTCTCTAGAAGGGAAAAGGCTGCCAAGTTCCATGTCATTGTTATTTCTGAAATAAGGGTAGCCTTTATGTGGCCAGCATGTGGTGAAGTGTCCAGCAATCTGATTTAAGAACAGTAATGCCTCAGTCTTAACTTTTTGCCAGTGGTATTGCTCCCCTGAATTTACCTGGAGCTATTTCTGATTCACCAGACTTATGGCAGGTGACTGTTAATTTTGTCTCAGGGCTTTTTTTTTCTGGTGTAAAACAATTCAGACTGCAGCTTGTTTGACATACACTTTTCATCTAAGATGATCCTTTGATTTGTTCTTACAGAAGTAGAAAGACCCTTATGAGCCTGTACTTGTGCTGTTGATACTTTTATTTTCAGCTTATGCATGGTGTCCCATTAGAACAGCACTAGAACAGACTGCCCAGGGAAGTGAAGGATTCCTTGAGGTGTTTAAAAAGATATGTAGATGTGGTTCTTCAGGACATGGTTTAGTGGTGGACTTAGAAGTGCTATGCTTATGGCTGAACTCCATCTTATCTGTGTTTTCCAACCCAATGACTCTATGCAGAGAGATTTCTCTTCAGTGATGCTTTGAGAAGGCTGACCTAGAACAGAGACTAGACAGAGCTAAAGAATAAAGTAGGGATTTATTAGAAGGCCTTAATGGATACACCTTGGGCAGCACAAGAGCCCAGCCAGTGCTACACCCAAGATGAACCAGAATGGTCACAAAATGAACAACCGGTCATGGGGTTTCTCACTTTTATAAGTTCTGATCCATTTGCATATTGGAGTTTAATTGTCCAATTACAGCTTTAGGTTATGAAGTCCCATCCTTCTTGTTTTTCTCTCTTCAGTCCACACTGTATATGCTCTTGGGCTTGAAATTTGGATCAGTTGTACTTGGTTCCAAGCTAGAAAAGCTACTCTGTGAAGAGAGCTTACCATCCCTTAATATGAAGCTCAGAACTATACACTAAAGCAGTAGAGAATCTGAAAAATATAAAAGCTAAAACCTAAGGCATCATCAGCACAGGACACCTACCCACTACTTTTCCCCAGCTGCTGCTAAAGAGTTACCAACTTTTACCCAGTCCATGGCTGTAGAAGACAGTGCAACAAGAAGACTTCCTCTGTAGAAACAGCCTTCATTAAGTCAGACAGGTAGGAGGATGCCAAAAAAAAAGATGTCAGACAGGCAGTACCAATGTGTCCTGGCACTTAGTTACAATGTAGAAATGATCACTCCCCTCCTTGGAAGAGTTTACCATTTCTTCTGGCACTTGATGAAATCTCACCTGCCTGCCTGTTTTGTTTGGTCGTTTTTACCAAAATTCAGGTCAGTCACTGTCCCTTATTCACAGTCCCAGAGCCATTCTGAACATATACATCAAAGCATCAGCTGAAAGTTTCTTGCCCAGAGTGCTTTTTACCTATGTTTAAACATGCTGTAAATTCTTCCACCAGACTTCCAGGTCCCACCATGAGGGTGTCCGCTGCAGGCAGTGAGGCCAAAGCTCGTGGTTCCATCAGTGCCAACAACCGCCGCAGCCAGAGCTTTAACAACTACGACAAATCGAAGCCTGGCCTTCTCCCTCCAACCCCAACAAGCAGCAGTGACAGAGGTAAGCAGTTAATAATCTGGATTTTTCTTAATAGTGGCTTCATTCAGAGGAAATTGGATTTTCTGTTAATCTCCAGAAGTTGTAAGACTGTCTCGAAGTTGTGTGTTGTAAACATGACATCTATAATCCAAAAGCCAGCTGTCTCTTCCTGAAAAAAGTATAGTCCTCGTTTAATATATCTGAAGTTGTGACTTGCTGGCCTGAAGGTGCATCCAAAAAATAACTTTAAAAAGTCTTGGCACTGGTGAGCCATGTTTTTTCATTTTGCTTCAAGGACAGATAAGGGGGAACGAATTAATCATGAAACAAGGCATTTTGATGAGTAGTTTGACAAGAATGAAAAATGACCACTAAAGATTTCTGCAAAATTTTTATATGATAAATAGTACAATTCGCTTTCATTTCCATCACTACTGCGGACTATCCTGTAAGATACAAAATTACACAATTCCAGTCTAATTTCAGGAATCATTTAGTGTTGTGTGTGAAGGCAGGAACATGTTATGTTTTATAAACGTTGCAGTGAAATTATGTCTGTGGCAGCACATCAGGAACACTCAGAGCCATGCTGTGTGTGAAGCAGAGCTTTTTTGAATGACATTTACTGACTTTGTGTCCATTCACTGATTTAGTGATCTGCCAGCATTCATTAGCCTCAGTTTGTAGCTCAGAGCGGGGCTGGGGGGCTGTGGCTGGTGAGAACTGAGCGCATCTCTCCAGCCTAGCACGGTCAGATTGGCGGCATGGGCTGGCAGCAAATCCCACATTCCCAAAGTCATTCTGCTGACAAAGAGAGGCCAGCACTGGGCCTCAGCACAGGCTCCTTGAACTCGCTTGACAGCGGCAGCCTTCAGGCTCAAGTCTCCTTGCTGGCTGTGCAGAGGTTCTGATAACTGTAATGAGCATTTTGCTCCAGGGAAAAGCACTGGGCTGGGTCAGCTTCTCTGTAGTTCTCATGCTAGGTTCTTTCCAGGAAACTCTGCTCTTCCTTCTCTGGAAATTGTTGTCCAAGGACTGTGTCAGTAGGTTTTGGAATGTTACCCCAAAAAGTTGTGGTGGCAGCGGAGGACCCTCAGCATCCTCCAGGGACATTCTGAAACATCCTGATCATATTTTCTGTAACAGAAAAATAAAATTTACCTCTGTCTAATATAATTATATTACAGATTAATGTATCAGCATAACAATCTAATAATTTAGCAATATTCTACCTTGGTAAATCAGTGTGTACTCTTTTAGAAGGTACAGTGTGTAAACAATAATGATTTAACTGTAACATCAGCATGTAATAGTCGTCTCTAAATCTGAATTAGGTCTGGCTTTCAGTTCAAAGAGCAAGCTAACAGGTTTTAGTGTGAGCAGTAGCAACCTTTTTTTTCCCTGTGTAATATCTTCCCACTCTCTTCCTTTGTCCTTCTTGTGAATATTCTTCTGCTCATGTCCCATAAGCAGTGGATTGAGGAGAGGTGGAGTGGGATTTGTTTTGTCCTGCAGCATGGATTTGTTGGCTAGATGATCCCTACTCCATATGGGATGTGTGATGTTATGCTGCATGGAGGTGAGGACTTCCATCTATTTTAAATCTTTTCTCAGTTAACCAAGATTACTGAATAAGGAAGGTAAGGTACTGGTTTTAGTCTTCAGAAAAGAAAAAGAAAGAAAGAAGTCCTTATGCCTACAGATAAATAACAATAATTTGTCAACTAACTTAAATATCAACTGATTTTAGACAGTCAGTTCTGGGAACCCTCATTCCTCACTATAGTTCATCTCCTGAGAAAGATAAACTGGTTGCTGAAGAAGCACATGAGATGAACTGCTTCCTACAAATGTTACAAATGACTAAAGGATACAGGGCTGGCTCTTAGGCTGACAATCTACATAAGTTGCATTAACTACTCACAATTTTGCTCTGGTCAAAATTTCAGTCATAAATTATGGTCTTTAAACAAAAAAAAAAAAAAAAGGCTTATGTAAAGTTGAACTTGAGCTTTTCTTAAAAGTATAATCATGACACAAAGCTGGTCTGCATCCATGAGAAATAAAAGCAATTGGTCTGACAAATTTTTGGCTTATTTTGAAGTTAATTGTAACATTGCCAGGCAAAGTTTATTGTCAAAGTGCTAAGACAATTCAGGTTTTCTGACCCATATCCTGTGTTTTGCCTAAGAAAATGAGACTTCCATGACTGTGCTGTGTGTCAGGCTTGGTACATTTTCATCTCTTTACCCAGTACCTGCTCCGTTGTGTTTTTGAGGAAGGAAATGGGAGAAATAAAAATCAGTCTCTTGTGGCATGATTGTTCACTTTGTGATAGAAGGTGGCCTTCAGCGTTTGAATGTTTGAATCATTTCTTACAAAAAGTAGGTTGTAATTTTTACCTTTTATTAATCTGTGGCCTTTCCCTCCAAATGCAATTTGTGTTTGACGTGAGGTGCACGCATGCTCTCAGCTAAAAGGAACGTGTAAAGAGATGCAAATCTTCTCTTCCCCACAGCTGACCTTGTGTCCTCAGTATTTTTTTTTCTCAATCTCCACATGCTCTCTGACATTACTTTCAGTATATACAGAAGAGAAAAGTGCTGTCTAGTAAGGATCGCTCAGACACCTTGTTCAGTCCTGTGGGCACCTTTTTTGAGGTTAGGGTCTGATAGCTTTAACTTGCTTTTTGGAGTTAGAGCCTCAGTTTATATGCAAAATTCTGCTTCTATAGGGAATTTACCTGAACTCACAGGAATTTCAGGACCCTCATTCCTCACATCATAAAATGATAATGTGCTGTAATATGTTTTTTTATTTATTGTCACAGTGATTAGCCATTTATAATTGCAGTTACATTCCAGACAGGGTATTTTTATGTGTGTAATTGGTGTTGCAGGCTTTTTTTTTTTTTTTTTAATGCCATTGAAGTCTTAATTGCATTTTTGTTTTGTGGGGAATTGAGCACTTAGGCTTGTGGGTTTTGGGGTTTCTTATGTCATCCTAATCCCTTCATACAACTAGAGCTAATTGTCTTCTGAATTGTCAGAATTGCTTAGCCCATGCTTGTGTAGGAATAGCTTTGGTTCACTTCCTTGTCCTTTAATGTCCTTGAACACCACAGGTTTCCTATGGCATGGAAGGCATCAGACACTTGCCATGTCACTACTGAACTCATCTAAGTTATCAAAAACTTTTCTAATGAATGTAGAGAAGCAGATGAACATTGCATTTCTATGCCTGTGTACAGTTAGTAGTTACTTTGAGGCTCCACATTACCACATCTAATTGTCTGACAGCATCACCAGATAAAATACAGACAAAAGTTGATTTGCGTATGCAATTTAAAATACATTAATCTACTTTTTATCCATGGCAATGAGGACTAGAACTGTATCCTAGGTAGTATGAAGAAGGAATCTTAACTATATTGAAGCCTACGACATCAGTAAAGACTTTGATACAGTAAGTGTTCTCATGAGTTTATGTCAGTGTTTTGCTTGCATGCAGTAGGGAGTCTCTTGAGTCTGAAAGCAGCCTGCAGTTCTGCAAGATGGTGGGGATTTTTGACTAGCTCTGAACACCCTCATATACCCACTGTCTTTACTGTTCTTCAGGCACTCAGTTTGCATTTTGCAATCTCAAAAGTCTGATGGTGTTGGCTGGGAATATTCTGCTTATTACTTGTGCCAAATTTATAAAGTCAATGAAATTATGAAGCTGTAAGAGACAACTTCATAAGCCACCTCCACCATGATGTGGATGATGTGATACAGCACTGTGACATACTTGCTTACATGCTTTCTTTTTATTTTTTTCTTCTACTTTGTTCCTAATATTTTATTTAAAATAATCCTACAGAGGGCAGTAGACATCTGTGGGAAAAATTACACTATTCCCGTGAATTGAATGTTGAGTAAAATATCAGTGGAAAAAAAGCATATTGCCAGACTTTGCCCATTTCTGCTTGAGATCAAAGGAAATGTTTATTTTACTCAGGTTTATAAAGAAGGTAGGTTGATGTCAGTTTTCTCTTAGATATCAGAAAAAGGAAAAAACCCAAGGATACATGCCTACAGATTCAGACAGTGAGGTGAAATAAATGTTTTCATAGCAGTGTCCATATGGGCAGGAGGTAAGAAAAGTGTGTGTTCCTCTCATTTTATTTTATTTTATTTTATTTTATTTTATTTTATTTTATTTTATTTTATTTTATTTTATTTTATTTTATTTTATTTATTTCAAATTTTGGGTAAACCTTTTTAACTTGGAACACTGTGTGTATTTAATAACTGTCTTTTAATATATAAAGGGTAGTCACTATGTTCACAAGGATGTGTGGTGACAGTTCAAGGGGCACACGTTCCTTTAGAGGAAATCACAATGTCTGGAAATAGGAATAAAATTCTTCACTATGAGAAGAATAAAACATTGGAGAAGTTTGTCCAGAGAAGAAGGGGTCGGATTTCACTTGCTTGGAAGTATTTAGGACTTGCCTTGACAGGGCCCTGGATAACCTCATCTCAGGTTACCCAGGCTATCCCCATCTCCTGCTTACAGGTGGAGGTTGGAAAGAATATCTCCAGAGGGTTCTTGTGACCTAGACTGCTTACCACATTTTGATACCTATAAATATTATTTCCTTTTAAATTTTTTCTTAAGTGTAAACTACTTAAATAGGAAGAGTTACTAAGGCATTTTGAAGGACACTTAAGGAATTTCTTTCCTCTTAACTTTTTAACTTTGTGTTATCAAAATAGGACTGACTACCATCAGTAAAATGTTAGCAAGGAAATAAATGTCACCCCCACTCCAGTGGGGAAACTGGTGTACAGTTACACATGCCCCATGTGTGCTAAAAATGTGTGCACTCTGTATGTAGGCAGTTATATTTATCAGGTTCAAGAGGGCAGGGCACCAAGTTCAAGGGCACAGTTCAGGAGGCCATGGCAGATCTTGTCAGAGCTTTAGCAGGAAAGGCTCTTCAGAATTAAATCAGTATCTTCATGTCAACTGTACTT